TTAATAATATAAATGTACATATATAGTATTAGGCCTATTCGTTGATCAATCCTAAGTAAAAAGATTATAAAAGTGAACTGGCTTTGTAAACTCTGTAAACTTTTTTTTTTTGTAAACTCTGGTTTGACGTTCTGACACTATGTGGTAAACATATAGGATCCGCCAAATAGACGTGAATCTCAAATAGGTCTCCGTGAATCTCCACAACTTGGACCCCTCCCTCCCCCCCCCCCCCCCCCCCCCCGCAAAAAATATAAACAGTGAATCATGACAGAATATTAAATAAAATGTCAATATCAGCAGATCAGATTTAACGTCTTATTACTTAAAAGGATGTAATATCATTTTTGCTTCACCATTCCTCATTATCGTGGACAATATGCATAAGCTAAGTCACAAAGTTCAATGGGGGGGGGGGGTTAAACCAAGTAAAATATTTGACAAGTAAAAAGAAAAAAAAATAGATTGGATATTCCAACTACGAGTATTCGCCATTATTTTCGGGAGATATTTACTCAGGTAAAAAAAAAAATATGGAGGAAGGGGCACAAATATACTCTTGACCGCCCCCTTTTCAAAAGTAGTGGTGTGGACATTAGCCCCTCTATTACTACGCCTATGATCTAACTGCTGATGTCTCACCATCCCCCGTCTTCAAAACATTTCTGAATCTCAGAAGTAACATATGTATAACACTGTAATCTATATATTATATGTTGCATAAACGATATGTTGCACTTATATTGTCTCTGATATTTAATTTTAGCGGTATAGAATTTGATATATGAAAGTGTATAAGTCGTCCAAAACATATCGAAATAGTGTCATTCATCAGAAATAGTTGTCATAAATAAATTGCCAAAGTTTGAAGCAAGTAAGTTTGGCAATATTATTTCAAGAAAAATATTGCGTCCTAATGCAACAATTTGAGGAGGAGTTCACGAAAATGTGTAAATGTGTTCGCCTTAGAGTTGCTATGATTATTGACAGCGAGATAGTTCAAGATTTAATCATAAGTAAATCCCAGAGCAAATTAAATTTTCAACCATTTATCAATTGTTCAAGTTAAGTTTGACTGATAATTACTTGCTAAAAATTCAATGGCATTTAAAACTGCAGCCATTTTTATTCCTATATTGCTATTAAGTCTCAAAATAACAAGAAAACTGTCTCGTTATAACTACATAACTAATTCGTTATAACGAGATAATTATCTCGTTATAACGAGATAATTATCTCGTTATAACGAGATAACTAACTCGTTAAAACGACATAACTAACTCGTTATAACGAGATACTAACTCGTTATAACGAGATAATTATCTCGTTATAACGAGATACTAACTCGTTATAACGAGATAACTAACTCGTTATAACGAGATAACTAACTCGTTATAACGAGATACTAACTCGTTATAACGAGATAACTATCTCGTTATAACGAGTTAATTATTTTTTTATCTTGTCAAAAATGAGCCTATCCGGCTTTCGTACTTTTGGTTTTAGGGTACAAAATTATGTTTGACAAAGCAAAAACAAAGTCTCTTGATATTTTTCTGGATCTATTTCCCTTTTTGATTAATAATTTTTTATTTATTTTTTGATTAATATTTTTTTTATATATATTTTTGGGCTTTCTGTGTATTTCTAGAATTAAAAACACTCTTTTTTAGTTTTATTTTATTTTCGATATAATTTTGATATATTTTTTTTATGATAACAAATCTTTCAAAAGCAGTTTACTAAGTCATTTTAAGTCTATGTTAAGGTTTAGATATACATACTCACGATCTCTAAATATTTACAATTAGGTTGGTCGTCGTAGTAATTGGAATATATTTTCTTCCATTCACAGCAAACTCGACATTGGAACAAGTCATTTCTGATCTGACATAATTCTATTCCTATACACCTCTGATCACCGACACAAAACTGGCTACATTTTTCCAAAGTTCTCGCAAATGTTGTTCCTTCTGCCGAGAATACAGTCTGAGATTCATTTTTAGAGAGCTTTCCAAAAACTTTGAAATGAAATTCTCCATGATAAGTATTCTGTTGGGAGACGCTTTCAGGCACTGGAATAAGGAAACAGGCAATTTGTAGGTATAGTTTCAGATACATCATGTGTAATCAGAATTATATTGTAGTCTACAATTAAATAAAACAGATTCCAGAGAACAGGGAAATACAGGTCGTACTGATCTTTGGATAATTGTAAAGTTTATTAGTCAGTGAAACATCTTTTATCATATTATACTTAATGTATAATCGAATGTACTTTAATGACCAAAAGGTAAAAAAAAATCTTCCACTTGTAACTAATACTTCAGTGAACTAAAACTAATTTGTTAGACAATCAATATTTTCTTTTTATTCTTATTATTAATTTTAAGCATTGCTTAATCGTACATGATGAATTATTCAGAAAACTCTGTGTTTGATGCGTTTTGAGGATGAAAAAAGTTCTGGGTGAATTTAATGATACAATTAAAGAATATTCCAACGTACCCTGAAATCGTTAGAGATAAATTGCATTGATCATTGTCGGAACATTTAGTTGTATCGTATCTTATTACTAGTAATAGAATGCTGAGTTAATTTCAAGGGCAATTTATTTTGAATAAAGAATCGTCTTGTTGGAAATGAAAACAACGTATGAAATAAATATACCACTACATTGATTGATTAATGTAATCTTTGATTTATAGAAATCCTGAACATTTACTCGATCTACTTTGTGTGTTTTAAGGAAGTTTTATTTTATTAATTTTGTGACAATCATTCCAATAATTTTCCCTCTTTTAATGTGTTTCTTCTGTAGAATAATTATTTTTCTTTTTTCCCTCCATTACTGTAGCTCCTAAATATACGCAAGGAATAAATTATCGCGTAATTACGCAAGAAGTACCACTCGCGAAATAAAATTACTCGCTTTTATTTTTATAGTGCTTAATTGTATGTAAAATCTCTAGATAAATCATCGATTCGCATATTATTTTGCTTCAATCAAAGTTTCTAAATAGATCTTCCATTGCAAATATGAACAAAAAAAATTTATAAATGTTCCTTTTTTGTGTGATTGCAATAGTTAAATACAATTTTGCAACAAAAATTTCCGACATCAAAGTTGCAGCTCATATTGCTTTAAGAAGAAACTTGAAGAGAAGTGATGTAAATCTGATGTTGATACTTAAAAACTCCAAGGAACTTTTAGAAAATTTGTAACAAAAAAAAAAACAAAAAACAAAAACAAAAACAAAAAACAAAAATTTCCAGAATCAATAATATGAAAACATACGACTTTTCAACACTTTATACAACCATTCCTCACAATAAATCAAGTATCTTTTAATATCGACTTTAGAGTACTTGTGTGTACAATCAAAATGGGTTTTTTAAAACAAAGTAATGTTGCAAATGACCAATGACAAGATAAGTAAATTAAGGCGTTCTATGATGCCAAAAAGCCTGAATTTTAATTTATCGTGGAGAATGGTTGTGTAAAGTGTTGAAAAGTCGTACCTTTTGATGTTATTGATTTTGGTAAAATTTTGTGATTTCAAATTTCCTAAATGTTCTTTGGAGTGTTTAAGTATCCACATCTGATTTACACCACTTCTCGAATATGTTGTTGTACAGTACTCCTGAATTTTCATTGCGGATATTTTAGTGAAGAGTAAAAAAAAAGGCTTGGTTGAACATTTACTTGAATCCTCTATGTATCTTTGTAAGGATTTTTACGTAGTTTAGTAATCCAGTATTAGTATGGTTATTCAAATTCAGTTTGTCTGTTGGGAATATTGAAAATATTTAAAACTGACATATTATTTTGAAGAATTTCCTCCTTAGCAAGGAAGTTATGGATATAAGTTGGATAAACACTTGCAGAATTAAATCCCAGTTCCTCTAAAATATTATTTAATTCTTTTTTCACTTCTGAATTATTGAAGACAGAAGGATAGATGGTTTTTATATTGCCACTCAATCGCTTAATGCTAGATTTCAACATCTATCTGATATTTATGATCCATTCTGACAAAGTATCAAGGTCTTTTTTTTTCATTTTTTGCCCATCACCTGACGTAATCTTTCACATAATATTTATGAAATTATGACGCCAGTTGAACGATCGGGGTTCCCTATATTTTAGCCTTTTTAAGATAACTTAATATAAGAACATGAACACGATGGAGGATTATGTTTCAGATGTTCGATATCTAGGCATGTAGAGATTTTTTTTTGTAATTAAAAAGTTTCGAAGGATTAGTCGATGTATTTGTAAGAATTACAAGTTGAGGTCTTCTACTTTAAATATGGTGGAATACAAGACTGGACCCTTTTGTGATTAAGAATATTACTTAAATAAACTGCTTCAATTCTTTTGTTGGCAAATTGAAGTTATGAATATTTTAGATAATCAAATATGCACAAAGAAAACTTGATCGATTGCAATGTATTCCCACTTTCTTTATTTTATATAAAATAAAAATTGTGGAGATAACAAGAGGCCCATGGGCCACATCGCTCACCTGAGTAGCTTTGGCCATGCTGTTCTTTACCAGATTTCCCTCCTTTTAATATACCTATTGTGGCCCCGCCCTACCCCTGGGGGTCATGATTTGAACAATTTAGAATCTACACTACCTCAGGATGCTTCCAAATAAGTTTCAGCTTTATTTGTCCAGTGGTTCTTGAAAAGAAGATTTTTAAAGATTTTTCTTATATATTTCAATATAAAACTTGGATTCCCTATTGTGTCCCGCCCTACCCCCGGGGTCATGATTTGAACAATGGATGCTTCCACTTAAGTTTCAGCTTTTCTGGCCCAGTGGTTCTTGAGAAGAAGATTTTAAAAGAATTTTCCTATATATTTCAATGTAAAACTTGGATTCCCTATTGTGGCTCCGCTCTCCCCCCAGGGGTCATGATTTGAACAATTTATAATCTACACTACCCCAGGATGTTTCCATATAAGTTTCAGTTTTTCTGGCCAAGTTGTTCTTGAGAAGAAGATTTTTAAAGATTTTTATGTATTTCAATGTAAAACTTGGATTCCCTATTGTGGCCCCGCCCTACCCCCGGGGGTCATGATTTGAACAATTTATAATCTACACTATCCCCAGGATGCTTCCATATAAGTTTCAGCTTTTCTGGCCAAGTGGTTCTTGAGAAGAAGATTTGTAAAGATTTTTCTTATATATTTCAATGTAAAACTTGGATTCCCTACTGTGGCCCCGCCCTACCCCCGGGGGTCATGATTTGAACAATTTAGAATCTACAATACCCCAGAATGCTTCCATATAAGTTTCAGCTTTTCTGGCCCAGTGGTTCTTGAGAAGAAGATTTTTAAAGATTTTTCTTATATATTTCAATGTAAAACTTGGATTCCCTATTGTGGCCCCGCCCTACCCCCGGGGGTCATGATTTGAACAATTTAGAATCTACACTACCCCCAGGATGCTTCCATATAAGTTTCAGCTTTTCTGGCCAAGTGGTTCTTGAGAAGAAGATTTTTAAAGATTTTTCTTATATATTTCAATGTAAAACTTGGATTCCCTATTGTGGCCCCGCCCTACCCCCGGGGGTCATGATTTGAACAAATTATAATCTACACTACCCCAGGATGCTTCCAAATAAGTTTCAGTTTTTCTGGCCCAGTGGTTCTTGAAAAGAAGATTTTTCTAATGTATTTCAATGTAAAACTTGGATTCCCTATTGTGGCCCCGCCCTACCCCCGGGGGTCATGATCTGAACAATTTAGAATCTACACTATCCCAATATGCTTCCACATAAGTTTCAGCTTTTCTGGCCCGGTGAATCTTGAGAAGATTTTTTAATGACCCCACCCTATTTTTATCTTTTCTTGATTATCTCCCCTTGTAAGGGGACTTGGCCCTTTATTTTAACAATTTACACTCCCCTTCACCCAAGGATACTTTGTATCAAAGTTGGTTAAAATTGGCCTAATGGTTCTTGAGAAGAAGTTGAAAATGTGAAAAGTTTACAGACGGACGGACAGCTGGACGGACGGACAGACGGACGGACGGACGACGGGTGATCAGAAAAGCTCACTTGAGCTTTCAGCTCAGGTGAGCTAAAAAGCAATCAGTACATTTTATAATATTACATTTTGCGTTAATTTCGTTAAAATATGTAAAAAAAAAATTTAAAAGAAAAAATGTAAGAACAAAAAATATAATCATGCAAACACTGTTTTCACATTAATTTTGCGTCGAGATCAATGCAGAATGTAATAACGCAAAATGTAATAATCAAAAAAGTGTCTTGTTACATTTTGCAATATTACATTCTGCGTTGATCTCGACGCAAAAGGTAATAACTCAAATTGTAATAATCCCAGTTTTTTTTTACATTTTACGTCGTTATACATTTTGTGCTGTGTATTTAACATGCTGGTGTGTAGTTCACGGATCCTAAAAAAAAATGGGGATGGATGACCTGAGAGCTACAGATCCATCCATTAAAAAATAGAGTGTATCTCATGCATGCAATTCTCGAATTTATCGCTGTATATTTTTAAAAGCTATCATTTCAAACTCTCATATCAGCAGTTCTCTCCGAGGTATATTCACAGTGGTCACACCGACTTGATTCTTTTGTCGTGCTTTCGGCCATGATGTAAACCTTCCCGAAACTCTGGAACACCTCAGTACAATATGGACAAAATATTATTGTGTGCTAATAAGGTATCCCTTTACTTCTGTAATAAAACATTCCCATAACTCTTGTTATAACCCTCCTGGTCTATCCTGTATTGTTAATTATAATTTCCTACACTGTTTCATGTCTTGTCTGATTACTTAATTTAATAAGTTGATTTTGCTTTCAAACTGTCTTCAAAAACCAGTGCATTTTCTGTCTCTCTAAAGATTTATTTCCCCTATGAACTAATACTGGTAAGGAGTAAAAATACTAAAGGAAAACAAACAACTTTTGAGCTGAAATGGAAAAATATTCAGGGTTATTTTTGCCACCTACGTTATTTTTGCTCTGTCACACTTGCAAACGGTTTAAACATTATGAATTAACTCAAATACAGTTTTGTAAAAGAAATAACCTAGTTTCCTTTGAATTTCCCCCATTTTAAAAATGCCTATTTCTGACAAGGGTGAAATGGACAATAATAAAATGGGGGAGGTGGGGAGGGGGTATACAGTTAACTTTTTGACAGTTGTCAACCATATTAACAAAGAAAAAAAATACCAAAACGTTGTAGAAACAATAATTTATTGAAATCATCATACGTAACATTACACATCACAATAATGTCCGACATTATGTCACTGTGTACATTTCTGTCTCACTCTCCTTCAGGAAAACAGTCTGTCCGTCCTCCTGTAAATTGTTTATAAAGTCCCTACACATGACCTGTTCAGTATCGTAACCAGTAGAAGTCTGATCTGAGTGATGGATAATCTGGTACAGCACCACAGGGACCTACAACAGGAAAATAAAACAGTGAAGGTAGAAAGCTCAAATGGTCAGACATAAAGACTTGGATCAATTGATTTCGGTGACCTAAAGTGTGAATAAAATATGATTTCAACTCGCATTCTTTCTTACCGACTGTTGCTAAGGCAGGACATCTGTCATAGATATATTTAATACATGTGTCCTTGACCTTCTGGGGGGTAACAGCCTGAAAAGTGGAGAAAAAATGTCACCGAACAATATATGTAAAGTGTTTAAATTTATCATCAAATCTAAAGGTTATATGTACAGAAGCTTTTCTGAAACATGGATTGGATTTATTAAATACCTTACTTATCTAAATATTGCAAATTTATAACTTACATCTATTCTATATTCCATCTCCTCCAAGGGAACCCGTCTTCCATAAGCCAACATTTGTCTGAGAGAAATAAGAAACAAACAGTTAAGAACATATTTGAACAAATGTATGCTAAAAAAATTGTCTGATGTACAAAAATAAAAGAAGGTAAAGACACTGCCAAAATTTAAAAATTCATCAAACACTTTGGTAAATTCACCCCTTAATGTTCCCAATATCTGAATGTGAAATTTTGGGTGGAAAAATAAAAAGGTTTATATTCAAATACTTACTACTAGGATCAATTAGTTTTTGGAATCATATTCCCAGATTTGAGAAACCTGAATGGCTAACTAACTGGAACAACTTGATTAGATAACTAACCTGCCAATATTTCACAAAGAGGAGCCAAAAAAAAAGAAAAACTAACCTACCAATATCTTCAAAGAAAGGAGCAAAATGGTTGAATTACTAATGGAGCAACCTTATCGGATGCCAAAATCTTTACAGGCATGAGTAAAATGATTGGATAACTAAATTGCCAATAACTTCAGAGATTGGAGGTCTGATTTTATAACTGACTACAGCAGACTGATTGGATAACTAACTGCAGCACACTGATAGGATAACTAACTGCAGCACACTGATTGGATAACTAACTGCAGCACTGATAACTAACTGCAGCACACTCCTTGGATAACTAACTGCAGCACACTCCTTGGATAACTAACTGTAGCACACTGATTGGATAACTAACTGCAGCACACTGATTGGATAACTAACTGAAGAATCTGATTTTATAACTGACTGCAGCAGACTGACTGGATAACTAACTGCAGCAAACTGATTGGATAACTAACTGCAGTGCACTGATTGGATATCTAACTGAAGCACACTGATAGGATAACTACGTGGTGCACACTGATTTTATAACTTACTGCAGCACACTAATTGTATAACTAACCTGCCAATATCTTCACAAATTGGAGTGGTCCCGTCTAGCTGTAGTCTCATGTTGGCCTTGAGTACATTCTTAGCTCTCTCCACCTCCACATCTGATATCATCTGACAAATTCTCACCCTGTAACCATGGAAACAAAAGGTCAGCATGTTCATAAAGTTTTGACTTTTATGAACGTCAAGGAATAACCTATCTGGGACCATGTGATTTGTACAATAGGCTATCATTATCATATACACCTACAGTTATTTATTACTAATATTCTCATTTTTTTCTTTAATTTCCCCATTGTCATTAAATCTAAATAATGACCACATATATTGATGTTATGAAATCTCATTTTAAAGGTTTAGCATAAGATTTAATGGGTATCGTTATCAGTGACAAAACACTGGGAAACATACAATACATGTTTTTGCATTTAATCTTATAAAATTATGAAATTGTATAAATTCAAAATTAAAAATTACATATACACTTTTAGCATACAATTATGTTTAAATAATTGCAGAATTTTGTAAAATATTTGTTTTTTTTATGGGATTTTTTATAAAATGTGTATACTAATTACACAGGACCAGGGATGGGGTCAATTACTTTAAAAAGTAATTAATTAAATTACAATTACTTTGACTTTTTCTTCAATTAAATTACAATTAAATTACAGGCTTTCTATGACATGTAATTAATTAAATTACAATTACTTTGTAAAAGTAATTAATTAAAATACATATTACATTTTTAATTTTTTGGAAAATTTTTATAATCCTTTTCAATGAATGTACAGAACATCATTTATTTGTATATAAGCTCAACCTCTGCACAAACAGTACAAGAAATAATATCCTATAGGCATTGTGTATCATTCTGGTTAAATTTATAACATTTATTTACAAAACAATAAGAATCTCTTAAAGAACTATCCGAGATCAGTTTGATGCAGTTTCCACCACACAAAACCTACATGTACACAAATGGCTTAAGATATTTGATTAAAAGTGAGTATTTTAATAGAGTAAAATGAGTCGCAACTGAAATCCCTCAAATTAAATATTTCCTTTGAAGGTACATGTAACCTGAACATCTTAAATTGCTATTTATGTTGAACAATTTTACTTCATAAATCAGAATTGTACAGATAGAAAATTCTTTCATAAAAATCTGTTTAGATGTTAAAATAATTATCAAATTGAAAGTTTTTCTTTTCTAAAGCAAGCGGAGCATTTTAAATTGAAATAATTATCTCCATTGGCATTGTCTTCTAAATCATGGAATGAATTTCTCTTTAGAGGAGTTGATTTGTTTTGATTGCAATTTAAAGGTGTGATCAGTAGGGCAATTATCTCTTCCCAACAAGAGAGAACTCTAGCTTAATTAATGACACACACCTTCTTTTTCTTTATTATTGATCAAACAACAAAGATTAAAATATAATAAATGCGTGTTTCATAGCTGAATAGACTTAAGAAGGGTGGTTCAAAATTCATATTTATAAACATACCTAGATAAAAAAAAATCAAAATTTACATAATGATTAGAAAGAAACTAGTTTATTATTATCAAACTTGTTTGTTTGTAAGCATTAACCTACGATTTTGTATAATTGAAGGATTGAGGATATGTTCAACAATAAAATAAAATAAAAACCAGTAAAATAGGGAGGTAGTGGTGACAATATATCATGAATATATCATGAATGTGTATTATATAAAGTAATTGAATGTAATTGAAAAAGTAATTGAAATTACATGGTATTTTCTCAGTGTAATTAATTAAATTACAATTACAAGTAATTGAAAAAATGTTCAATTACAAATTACTTCCAATTACTTCGAAAAATGTAATTAATTAAAGTCAATTACAATTACTTTTTTCAATTACCCCATCCCTGCACAGGACAGATTTTCCAGATCTCATAAATCAGCAGATATTTGTTCAATGAGTAAACTATGTATGTACAGCTAAAATAACCAAAGGTGAATGTAAATGCAGATCTGACACAATTTTAATTACCATTCAGTTGTTATGTAGTCTGTGATTAGCTGCATCTGTTGTCCTTCTCCAATAAAATATGCTCCCCTACAAGAAAAATATAATCTATATGTACATTCTGAGTTCACTGGTTCTAAATGTGCACTTAGAAATTTTCATGTTCTAAATGTACACTACTTTAAAATTTCTATTAGTGTACATGCATCCTAAGAATTCCCATGTTATCTATGCAGAAAGTTTACTTTATTTTATTTTTTATTAAAAGCTAATATCCACTAATTATGTACTCATCAAAGAAATAAATTGTGCATTAAGCTAATTTATGCTATTTTCAGCTCAGTCAAATTTGCAATGTATAAGGACACTAAGGTCCCTTTCCAGACACTGAATAAGAGAATCAAATTGTACAAATTTCATACTGCAGGTAATAGCCATTGTTAAATTTACTGATTATTTAATATTTTATTATTGATTATTTATTGTATACTCTGATGAATATGATGAAGCTTAGATTGATGTAAGTAACAGACTCCTATGTTCGTAGAATGTCTTACCAAAGTCCTGTGTCAGAGTAGTTTGTGTTGAAGGACATAAAGCTGTGAGCTGCGGGATTGGAGGCGAATTTCGTGGCCAACAGACTGACCAGGTCTTTTCCCCCCATCATTGACCTGTCCCAGCTCCCACAGGCCATGTTAGCGATCATCAGGGGGATATTGTCGGGGTCCTTCCAGCCGCAGGTCTCCACTGCGATGGCAACGTGACAAAGAGGCATGAAATCGTCACGGATTCTCACCTACAAAGAGAAAACCTAGTGTTAAGATTGGCTAGTCCTAAATTTCTTACAGTCATGTGACAGTCATACTATAACTTTTAAGTTAATTAAGCTAATTTAACTAAACTAGACATTGGCTAATCCAAATTTCCTCTATTTTTCTTGAAATTTTCAGGAATATTTGTTATTTCAATATACTTCATATACTGTACATGTATTTAAATTTTTCTTATTTTCACATATGATGAAGTTGTCATATCAAGATAAAAAAATGAAACACCAGAACCCATGACCTTGGGTCATGAAAATTTACAAAATTTGGAAGAGGTACTCTCATCATCATAACTATGCAATTAGTTGAAAATTTTCAAAGAATTCATACATTTTCACTTTGAAAGAAATTATGAATTTTCACTATATAATCAATGGAGTCCCCCCCCCCCCCCCTTCACCAGAACCCCTGACCCAGGGGCCATGAAATTCACGATTTTGAAAGAGGCAGCCATGCTCATCATAACAATATAATTAGTTAGTTTATTTCATACCCAGGGGCAGAGAAGAAGATTTTCAAAGATTTAATGCATTTTCACTATATATAAACAATAGAGCTCCGCCCTAGCGCCAGAACCCCTGACCCAGGGGCCATGAAATTCACAATTTTGGTAGAGGGCTCAATGCTTATTGCAATCATGCCAACAGTTTGACTGCTTGATGTCCAGGAGTAAAGAAGAAGATTTTTAAAGATTGCATCAATTTTGGTGGTTTTAGCCCCACCCCTCAGGCCCCAGGGGGGCAGGGACCATGAAATTCACAATTTTTGTCCCTCTTCACCCATAGATGCTATATACCAAAATTGGTTAAAATTGGTTGAGCGGTTTCAGAGAAGAAGCTGAAAATGTTTAAAAGTTAACGCACGACGGACAAAAACAGATAGCAATGACTCAGGTGACCTAAAAATCGGTTTCACAAAAATTCTTAAGAAAATCTGCCGTAACTTTACGAGAGCCCTAACCCTCTCTTAGGTATTTTAAAACCGATTTTATTGGGAAAATATAACCGCAAAAACCAAAATTCATGTTAAATTGAACTTTGTAAAGCAACTTCCAATAATATTTTATATTTTTTTCACAATCAAATGAAATACACTACAAAATATTTACGATGTAACTTTCACTTAAGATTTTTGTATGACCTACTTTTACGTCAGACTTGTGATTGTGACGTCAAATTTAAAACTTCCTTGCTTCACATCGCAGTTGATATTTGTTGTCAATAATGTTTGTTATGCTGACAAATATTGAAAACTAAGTTTTATTTTTATTTTCACCCACTTATTTAAGGATTATAAAGCATATTGAAGTCGTTGCTAGGGATGAAGTTTGTCGTAAGTAAAATCTTAAGTTCAATCTGCTACGAATGAGTTCGTGAAATGCACTTAAGATTTGTCGTAAGAGATTCTTAAGTTAAAATCTTACGCAAAAACGTAAGATTTTTTGTGAAAAGGTCCACTGAAAAGGAAATATTTTCATGCACCACTATTCCACCAAAATATAGTCCCTGCTAGATTTCAAACTCAGTTTACCAATTCTGTTCAAAGATGTACAGTTATAAGAAGGAAAGAAAAATATGATCTTTTAAATCCTTTATATCTTAATATATGCAACACATAAGCACATAAGCAAATACACTTTGAATTTTCATTTAGTCGGACACCAGTCAAGCATCACTCCTCAATATCAATCTCAGTTCAATAAGATCTTACATATCTCCTGTTTAGCAGTATGGTTTTACAAACTACTCTAACACTTTAGTCTGAAAGAATATATAGCCTCCTTTTACTTACATCTACCCTGTATAGCAGCATATTTTATTCAAAACCCTTTCATCACAATCTATAATCTTGTAAGGTTCCTTACCAAAACCTGCACTCAACCATCTCCCCCATCCCCCCCCCCCCCCCACCACCACCCCCGTCCCAATAAAAACATGCTTTGACACACACCACAACCTGTAATGTTACATTTGTTTTACACCTAAAACTTACATCTCCTCCAGTGAAGCGGCATGGCTCTTTGAAGGATACGTCTTTCTGCAGGGAAGTGTCATCAGTTTTACCGAGGTTTCCAAAGTACTTCTCTCCAAGATCTTTCAATTTCTGGTGTTCCACACCTACCAAAACATTCTGTATGTTAATCAATTGGACTCAAAAACATAAACCAGGCTAAAAACTAAAGTTAAGTTCCTTTTTTTTTTTATTTCAGAAGAGAAATAATTAACAGCTAACTCAAGCACTGATATTTACATGCAGCATTGCCTAGAAAGCATGATTCATATTATTATCAGCTTTCCTTTCCTACATGAAAGATAAATAATCTAAATCAACTTTACCTCAAACCCCAGCCAGAACGAAGCAGCAGGGTGTATAGTGAGGCTTTATAATTAACCAAAGTGGGGATAGAGGATGAGTGGGGGTGTATAGTGAGGCTTTATAGTTAACCAAAGTGGGGATAGGGGATGAGTGGGGGTGTATAGTATGGCTTTATAGTTAACCAAAGTGGGGATAGGGGATGAGTGGGGGTGTATAGTGAGGCTTTATAGTTAACCAAAGTGGGGATAGGGGATGGGTGGGTGTATAGTGAGGCTTTATAGTTAACCAAAGTGGGGATGGGTGGGTGTATAGTGAGGCTTTATAGTTTACCAAAGTGGGGATAGGGGATGGATGGGTGTATAGTGAGGCTTTATAGTTAACCAAAGTGGGGATGGGTGGGTGTATAGTGAGGCTTTATAGTTTACCAAAGTGGGGATAGGGGATGGGTGGGTGTACAGTGAGGCTTTATAGTTAAAGGGTTTTTATCACGTATCTAAATTTCTTAAAAATGAAACACTATTATATTCTTGAAACATATTATTATCGTTTAATAATGAAATAATGTTGAAAACAGCCGTAATTAGATGATAAAACGCCCGTAATATAGGGTCCTCGAAGTAAAAATCTCCACTAATTAGATAGGGGTCATGTGGTACTGAAACGTCATAGGTGTCAATGGTCAATAGAACTCGTAAAGCTTATCGTAAGAAAAAAATATATTGAATAGATTTTTAAGGTAAATAAATAGAATACACAGTATGGCCGGTTGAAATTTTGACATAGATATATTCCTTTGGTTATGGACGGTCAATCTTTTAGGTATGAACGTCTAGCAGAGAGAAATAACCCGAAAATATGCTGACAATTGGAGAGAGGTCACCGAAGACGAAGCCGTTGACAACTCGGGACTTCAACTAAATAGAACGAATTACTAAAGTTTAACTTCGTAAACATTCATAAATATGGGAATTTTAAATTCCTCTTCATTATTATTTTAATCAGTTATAAATAAATAAATCCTGTATATCTTCTATCTGTTCTAGCAGTGCATATCATGTACTAGAAATGACACTTCTTCAATCGCGCCGTACGCCATTACGATGTTCATAAAAGTTGCACAGAATCTAGTAGGAATGTTGTATTCCTACTAGATTCTGTGCGACTTTTAAAAAATGCGTGTTTGTCATTTATTATTTTTTTAAAAAAAGTATCTTTCCTTAAAATATTTTATAGGACAGAAAAAAAAAATCGTGATCGATCGGGCATAAACGATTGTTCTGAATGAAGATAAACGCCATCGCATTTGCAGAGAAAGGCCCCCCTTTTATCTCTCGAACAAGAAATGTGGGGAAAAAATTCTTCCTAAAACCTTTCCTGTGCACATTTGTGCATCATAAAGCCATAAATTATACCTTACAAGTTGTCAATTATCACTTAATTATTTTCTAACAGGTTTAAAAGACACAACAAATGAGCCCTTTTGTATACACAATAAGTACTTCGCTTGACCAGGATTGACACCTATGACGTCAGAGCAATGGCGCGTAACATCGCGATCAAAATATGCATATTGAGAAATTCAAACTTTGAATCGCTGAAACATCAAAAATATTAATTTTCTAGCAAAAATTTTTAAATATATGATTTTAATAGCATGTAAACGTTGTCATATCAAAAAATTTTGAAACGTGATAAAAACCCTTTAACAAAAGTGGGAGTGGGGATATGTGGGGGTATAGTGAGGCTTTATAGTTAACCAAAGTGGGGATAGGGGATGGGTGGGTGTATAGTGAAGCTTTATAGTTAACCAAAGTGGGGGTGGGGATGGGTGGGTGTATAGTGAGGCTTTATAGTTAACCAAAGTGGGGGTGGGGATATGTGGGGGTATAGTAAGGCTTTATAGTTAACCAAAGTGGGGGTGGGGATATGTGGGGGTGTAGTGAGTATAAAGTTAATCTTACCTCCAGCCCCAGCAAGGACAAAGCGGGAGGGTGTGTAGTGAGTTTTTATGAAGTTGGTCAGATCCTGCCTCTTTAGGGATCTACAAAGAACAATTTAAGAAACATGAGAAAATGCAAAATTCAAGGACAACCAGAAGTCTCTGATGAGACTGTAGCTCTACTGGTTGTATTTATAAAGGAAGATAAAAGTAGCACTTGGACTTGAAACTTTGCAACAGCAATAAATAGAATAATGATCCTTGGTTTAGTCTCTTTTTGGCAAGATTTATTATTATATCAGACTAAAACTGTAGGAGGAGTAGCCTTTTAAAACAATTTTACTGAAATTTTGATTTAAGTAACCATGGCAACATCATTCAACAAAATCAAAAAACAATAACACCAATTATGTATCTCTGTAGTCTACTTGTATGCCACATTATTCTGAAATCAGACAAAAAGTGTAGGAGGAGTAGCGTTTTGAAAGTATCTCAAGAAAATTTCTATTTTTAGTAACCATGGCAACACCATTCATCAAAATCCGAAACTGGTACAGAGAATTATGTATCTTAGTGTAGTTTACTTGTATGCTAAGTAATACTAAAATCAGACCAAAACTGTCGGGGTAGCATTTTGAAGGTATTTCAAAGAAATTTCTAGTTTTAGTAACCATGGCAACAATGTTCATCGAAATCAAAAACCGACACACAGAATTATGTATCTTAGTGTAGTCTACTTGTTTGCCAAGTTATATTGAAATCAGACCAAAACTGTAAGAGGAGTAGCATTTTGAAAGTATTTCACAGAAATTTCTATTTTTAGTTACCATGTCAACATCGTTCATTGAAATCAAAAACCGATAAACAGAATTATGTATCTTATTATAGTCTACTTGTGTGCCAAGTTATATTGAAATCAGATCAAAAATGTAGGAGGAGTAGCATTTTGAAAGTATTTCACAGAAATTTCTAATTTTAGTAACCATGGCAACACTGTTCATCGAAATCAAAAACCGATATATAGAATTATGCATCTTAGTATAGTCTACTTGTGTGCCAAGTTATATTGAAATCAGATCAAAACTGTAGGAGGAGTAGCATTTTGAATGTTTTTCACAGAAATTTCTATTTTTAGTAACCATGGCAACACCGTTCATCGAAACAAAAACCGATACACAGAATTATGCATCTTAGTATAGTCTACTTGTGTGCCAAGTTATACTGAAATCAGATCAAAACTGTAGGAGGAGTAGCATTTTGAATGTTTTTCACAGAAATTTCTATTTTTAGTAACTATGGCAACACCGTTCATCGAAATCAAAAACCGATACACAGAATTATGTATCTTAGTGTAGTCTACTTGTGTGCCAAGTTATATTGAAATCAGACCAAAACTGTAGGAGGAGTAGCATTTTGAAAAATTGTTTACAGACGGACAGACAGACAGACAGACGGACGGACGACGGACACATTACTATCGCATAAGCTCTTCTGGTCTCTGACCAGTAGAGCTAAAAAATGAGTTTTATATTTTGACCAACAGGTATAAAATTATGCAACACTCTTTAGATTGCATTATATTTAATGTATGCCACTGTAGGCAGAACAAAAAGTTACAGCATCAATTAAAATACTGAAGTATAATCATTGTCAGGTTTTAGTAATGAAGCAAACATGTATATGAAAAACATAACTCTGCCTAACAAAAAAGCCTGTGTGGTTCTTCAAATACACTTCTCTTGACACTGAAATTGATTTGTTTTTCCTGGTGTAACTCAGACAATGACATAATAAATATTACGTGTGGGTCCTGGTATAATCTACACACAACAACTTTTCATGTAGGTCTTAGTAAAATGAGGGAACTGACTTACTTGATATTTTGTGTGGGTCCTAGTGTGATGTTAGATAATGATATAATTGATATTTTATTTTGTGTATTCCTACTGAAATGTTACACATTGAAATACTTGATATTTTGTGTGGGTCCTAGTGTGATGTTAGACATTGACATACTTGATATTTTGTGTGGGTCCTAGTGTAATGTTAGACATTGACATACTTGATATTTTGTGTGGGTCCTAGTGTGATGTTAGACATTGACATACTTGATATTTTGTGTAGGTCCTAGTGTATTGTTATACATTGAAATTCTTGATATTTTGTGTGGGTCCTAGTGAAATATTAGACTTTGTCATACTTGATATTTTGTGTAGGTCCTAGTGTAATGTTAGACATTGTCATACTTGATATTTTGTGTGGGTCCTAGTGAAATATTAGACTTTGTCATACTTGATATTTTGTGTAGGTCCTAGTGTAATGTTAGACATTGACATACTTGATATTTTGTGTGGGTCCTAGTGTAACGCAGACATTAAAATACTTGATATTTTGTTTAGGTCCTAGTGTAATGTTAGACTTTGTCATACTTGATATTTTGTGTGGATCCTAGTGAAATGTTAGACATTGTCATACTTGATATTTTGTGTGGGTCCTAGTGTAATGTCAGACATTGAAATACTTGATATTTTGTTTAGGTCCTAGTGTAATGTTAGACTTTGTCATACTTGATATTTTGTGTAGGTCCTAGTGTAATGTTAGACTTTGTCATACTTGATATTTTGTGTGGGTCCTAGTGTAATGTCAGACATTGACATACTTGATATTTTGTGTAGGTCCTAGTGTAATGTTAGACATTGTCATACTTGATATTTTGTGTGGGTCCTAGTGTGATGTTAGATAATGATATAATTGATATTTTATTTTGTGTATTCCTAGTGAAATGTTAGACACTGACATACTTGATATTTTGTGTAGGTCCTAGTGTAATGTTAGATATGTACATACTTGATATTTTGTGTGGGTCCTAGTGTAATGTTAGACATTGTCATACTTCATATTTTGTGTAGGTCCTAGTGTAATGTTAGACATTGTCATACTTGGTATTTTGTGTAGGTCCTAGTGTAATGTTAGATATGTACATACTTGATATTTTGTGTGGGTCCTAGTGTAATGTTAGACTTTGTCATACTTGATATTTTGTGTGGGTCCTAGTGTAATGTTAGACATTGTCATACTTGATATTTTGTGTGGGTCCTAGTGTAATGTTAGACATTGTCATACTTGATATTTTGTGTAGGTCCTAGTGTAATGTTAGACATTGTCATACTTGATATTTTGTGTGGGTCCTAGGATAGTCCTTCCTAACGGTGTTCCTTGGTAGGCTGTGGCATGTAGATGGTCAAATATTACTTCCTGCATGTTTGTTTCCACTTCCTGTTAACAGAGTACAATATTGTACAATATTTCAAAACAATGTTTCCATGTATATGCAAGATTTATGTTGAAGTTTACACTGTACACACTTACAATGAATTTACATTTGCACTGAAGTGATTTTCATTCCCTGTACTTTAAAAACATAGTATCATCTTACTAGATATAATGAATTACATTTGTAACAAACAAAAATTGTTCATCCCTGGCACTTTACCATAAGTGGGTTTCATTACAAGTACATTGAGAGACTATTAAAACAGTGTCATCTGTTACCTCCATTTCCCTCAGAATTACGTCTCTCTCTCGTTCTATGTCCTGCTCATCTAATTTACTGTTCTGTATAATGTCTGACAGGATGTCCATTGCTGAAAAAAATTAAAATATAAGAAATTTTCTCTCTTAGAAAACTTTCTATCTGAACTGAAAGGAGCACTTACACAAACTAGGGATTGAAAATGTCAATCATGATTATGATGTTCTTGGAAAAATGAGAAATTTTCATTCCAAATCAAACCACAAATTCATGTCATAAAAATAGAGAACATTGCAACTGAACTACTAGGAGCATTTACACAAACAAAGGAATCAAATGTCAATTTTTATCCTGGTTGTGCAGTTATTGGGAGACAGGAATTAATTTCAGGACATCCAAGTAAATGTTTTCAATATTTTGGCTAAATTTTTGTAACAAATACTTACCTTCCATGGATTTTATTATTGTAATTTTATTATTATTTTATTATTGTTATTTTATAATTGTTATTTTTCAAATATTTTATTCATACAAATGAACTTGATTGGGCAACAGACAAAGCCTACATAATAAATGGATCTTGTCATTGGATTCTGGTATTGTTTATCATTTACATACAGGTGAAGTATTTTACCCTCAATCTCTCAAACCCTCAGACATCTCAAATTTTTTTTCTCAGTCCAATCGAGTCCAAGATACAAGTAAACTTCGTTATCTCGACATCGACAGGACCATCGGAAAATGTTGAGATATCCAAGGTGTCGAGATATCAGAGTTGAGACTTGACGTCCAAGATTTCACTGCATAGCAAAAGACTTCAATATACATGTAGACTGTAGCTCAACATATTTCAGAATTCCCTCTATTTTTATTAAAAATCTAAGAAGTTAATTTAAAATTCTTGTTTATAATTAAACAAGTTCTTTATCGAAATCTTTCTAAATTCACAAAGTTTCAGTACAAAGTTACAGCATTCGTGTGTAACTTTCCTTTTCATCAGAACAGGATACGAAATGCTCTCTATAAACTTCGAACTGTATAAAGTCGACATCCAATTTACGGAAAAAAAAATTAAATACGGATTATTTTTTTCTTATTTCTTTCAGGAAGAATGTACATTAAAATTCATTTTTTGAAGAGATTTGTGTATCTAAACTAACGTAGTGTTGTTACAGATGAATGAATTACGGCTGATTCGGTCAATCCTGTCGTTAATTGGATTGTTTCCTGTTGAATACATTTTAACTACAAAATATCATTAAAACATCTTTTAATTCCTTAGTTTGAATTGTTCAGTGTGTTTATATTCATTTTAATTTAGTTACCTTTTTTAAAATTTAAAAGTTATGTTAGGTTTTGATAAAAATAACTGTCTGTACATTTACGCAGAATCGTGTAGATTTAGCAGTGATATTACCCAAGCTGAACATTAATTAAGCAATAAACTTCTCAAAGATGCCGAGGGGCTTGGGATTCACCTACAAACACAGTCTATAGAATTAATTAAGCAGTGTGCAGTTAAAACATGGGTGTGAAAGGTGTGAAATTTTGACGACGTCGAGATACCCGGAGTCGTCCGTGTGTGACGAGCGACCCTATCTGACAAACAGTTAGGTTCAGCAGAGCAGAAAATTGCCGATGTTGACATATATCAGGTAAATTTTGCTCTTGGGACTGTGAATATACATCGAGATAACCCGCGTTGTCGACATTACCAAGGTCGACATATCAGAGTTTTTGCAAATCATTTATATGGTAAATACTGCCGGGATCGCGAAAGGACGTCGACATATCCCAGGTTGTCGACATATCCGATGTCAAGATACCGAAGTTTACCTGTATCAAGGTTTGACTGTATTTACCTTTTTCTACATCTTTGGATAAGCATTTAGCATAAAACACAGTGGTTTCTCTTGATGTGTAGGCGTTCAGATGAGCCCCCATGTTTTCAACTTCTAACTCTAACTGTGTTCTGGAGCGCTTTCCTGTCCCCTAAATCAGTACAAAGTAAAATTACAAAACAATTGTCTTAAAAAGCTAGCTCTTATTTTCAAAATCATAAAAATATCTTTCATTTTGTATAAAACAAATCCAATGAACCTTATTTTTAACAGATAGTTTCTGAAATATTTGCTAAATTTCTTACGGTCATTAAATTGGCATTCTTATTAGACCAAAAGATAAATTTTCAGTGATTGCATGTAGGACAATTATAATAAACAACTTAACAATTCTTAATAATTCTTATCAGTATATTTGATCTTTTTTTTTTTTGTAAGTTAATGTAAAACTAATTTCATGTAAATTATCATTATTTTCTAGATTACTCAAGACTTATTTTTTTTATTATTCAACTCAATGTCTTTATTTCAAATAAAAGAATTTGTTTACCTTGAAAAACATGTGTTCTAGGAAGTGAGCCACGCCATTGTTTTTAGCTGTCTCATATCTGCTTCCTACATCAATCCACAGCCCAACCTATTAGATAAATGTCCTCTTTGTTATACATTGTAAGACTTAATTAAAAAAAATATAAGCATACATGATCACAAACAGTAAGAAAATTGGTATGCCAATTGATCAAAAGAACTTATTTCAAAGTATGAGTGTTTATTTTAAATTCCTAATACTATGCTTTCATTTTAGAACTTAAAATAATTTTTACTCTTTACTTTGGAAAATCAAAATGAACTAGGGCATATTTTTAGTTTAAAAAAAAAATCACTCATTTTGAATATATGATAATAAAAGTACCAAGCCCAGTAAGAGAGGATAGCAATTATGCCACAAACACTAATTAAATACAAGAAGTCCATGGGCTACAATGCTCACCTGAGTCACTAGGACCCTTCTGTTCTTAAACTTTATAAGCAGATATTTTTCCTATATATTCCTATGTATTACATCACATATTGCAGCCCCACCATACCCCTAGGGGTTAGGATTTGAGCAAACTTGAATCTACAATGCCTGAGGATGCTTCCATATAAATATGACTAATCACAGCTTTGCTGTTTGAGATTCTATGCTATGTCAGGAAGCTTTCACCTAAGCTTCATCTTTTTTGGCCCAGTGGTTCTTGAGAAGAAGATTCTTAAATGACCCCATACAATTTTCACTATTTCTTAATTATCTTTCCTTAGAAGAGCGTGTGGCCCTTCATTTGAATAAAATTAAATCCCCTTTACTTAAGGATACTCTGTACCAAGTTTAGTTGAAATCGGCCCAGACTTTCTGAAAAAGATGAAAATCTGAAAAGTTTATGACACTAATGATGACAGCTGACAAGGGTTAAATTTCAATCAGAAAAGCTCTCTTGAGCTTTGGCTATGGTGAGCTAAAAAACTGCACAATAACAACAGAAATGTGCCTCAATAAAACTATATCTGACAACACTTACTGTACATGTGGGCGTGCCCAGACTCTCTGTTAACACTTACGGTACATGCGGGCGTGCCCAGACTCTCTGTTATCACTTACTGTACATGTGGGGGTACCCAGACTCTCTGTTAACACTTACTGTACATGTGGGCGTGCCCAGACTCTCTGTTGCCACGGTCATCCCATTAGGGAGGGTAGATACCACCGTCTCTGGTACATTGACTTTGACCTTCCTCTCAGCTTGAGTCGAAGCTGCCCTCCATGCTGGGTAGACAACCTGACATGAAAATTAAATACATGTTTATATAATTATATAAATATTGCTTCGATTCTTCTTCTCTGCTTAGGCTACAGTTAACCACTCAAAATTCATCCAACATAGAAAGGTGGTAAGTGTGTTAGCAAAATGAAAACAATAAACAGATTTAACAGAATTCTATGATTATGCAAAATAAACAATACAATACTACATGTAAGCTAAAAGCAGGGATTTTTTTAGGGTCTCTCCGGGGCCGAAATTCGGCCCCATTCCCAATGCTGAAAAGTGCATGTTTTTCCCAAAATTATACCTAAAAATTCCCAATATGAAAAAAGTTATTAAAATAAAATAATGACAAAAAGGTGTTTATGTCCTCTATGTGCGATGTACGAGCCATCCGAGGAGTTCCGAAAAGTTATTCAGAATACTACGGATGTTGCATGCATACTTTTTAAAGTGGGATCGATGTTTAAAAATTAAAGTCGGGATCGTTAATTAATAAATAAACATGCATCATGTCAGTCTCTCCAGTTTGCCTAGGGCGGTAATTTTCAGGCTGTGTTGAATCACTCTTATTCTTATAAATTAGTCAAACAATACCGATTAACCACTCATCTGGAACAAACCCACTATCAAATTTTATTTTAAAGAACTTCTTACGTAAAGGTAAAAAAGATGACAACGTTGTATAAAAGTGTTCATTTACAATGTTATTATACCCTGCGGCTTTACCATTTTTAAGGTGTTGAACAGTGTCTATTATTTAATATCACTAAAGCTGGTTTAGGCCAGCTTCATACTATAAAAAAATAAGAAAAATGATTAAATATTTGTCTTTTGCTTGTTTTTATTTGTATGAAGATATTTTTCCCAATTTCAACAAAATATCGCTTTTTTTCCCTATCTTGACGGCCCCGGCCCCTGGAATCAGAGGGTAAAAAAATCCCTGAAAAGGCTATATAGATGTTTATTCCGACATTGACAAGTTGTGTGCATTGAGTTGTAAGTATGCTTACTTCATACTGTGTTGAAAGTTATGATAACCAATTGTTTACCATAAGTGGCAATTATGATTTCATTCAAGTAGATATTATTTGGTTAAAAATCAAACCTTTTAATTAGCAAAGTTAAATAAAGCTACTCTGATTCCAGCTTAATAGCTAAATCAATTGATTGTAATAAGGGCTGTAACGACTTCCCCAAAATAACCAAAAGCAGCAGTCCAAGTTGTTTAGTTTGATTTCAGTTAATTTTTTCTGGATTTGGGTTCAGGTTTGGTTTATATATTAGAATCGGTTTCATACAAAAAAGAGCATTGAAATCATAAGAAATAGGATGATAACAGTGATAAATAAATATCCTAACCAAAAATCTCCAAACATACTAAAAATAAATGAACTGTGATGGCCCTAATTGTTATAAACAGTATATACTCTGACCCCCCCCCCCCCTCTTCATATACCTGTAATAGTTAAATATTATCTCTGGTAATTTCGGCCTTGAGTCTTCAAAATTCAGAACTAAAGGAGGATACAGAGATATTTCTCATTTCCTTTCATTTTCACTTACCACTTACTATCAAAGATTACAGTAGTTTTTTTCTTTGAGAAAATTCGGGTCATTTTCTTTCCACAATGATTTTTTTAAGCAGATATATTTGAGAACTGTCTTGGAACTTTTGGACAACTAATGATAAAATAGAACTTCTCATGAGCATTCTAACAAGATTTTACAGAAGTTTCCAGAGACCGGCGAAGTATTATTTTCAGCGCTGTTACATGACCTTCACTTCTAAAAACGAACTCGTCTCATTTAAAACAGGAAAAAGTACGTTCACTAGAATTCCAAGTATCTATGCAGGTAAAGCATATGATTGTGCTAAGTGTATGAAGCATCATGTGTTACCTGCTGGGAACGACACAGATATTTAGCCAAAGGACTGGCAGATCCCAGTATTCGAGAAGACATGATTGTTGTGTAGAGAGAGAGCATGCGCCGTAATTAAAGTAAGTTGTACGTAGTTTGTACTTGTTGGTTGGTCCATCGGGATCGGTGTACACAAGCAGACGGAGTTCAAGTACAGCCGTGAGGTATAATATGTATGCTGTTTTGGATCTCGTAACCAGCCTCTATAACCAGGCAGAGCGCATGCGTGAAATAAATTTCCATCGAGATCGGAAAACAGCAGAGAGGAAATTCGGAATATATAATGGAAACTAGTAATGCGGAATGATACTATAGTCAGATGCAGAAATTTTTGCATAATTCGATCAACTTTTATTTAAAAAAGCAGAAGAATAAATCAATCAACTTTACAGTTAGTTTTTATTTATTTATTTATTTATTTATTTATTTATTTATTTATTTATTTATTTATTTATTTATTTATTTATTTATTTAATTATTAATTAATTAATTAATTTATTTAATTTATTTATTTATCATTCTAATAATTAATTAACTAAGTAACTGATTAATTTATTAAAAAATATATATTTGTATTTTTTTTTAAATTCATTTATAACATTCTTTCCTTCATTTATTAATTATTCCATCCATTAATTAATTATCTATTAATCAATTCGTTGATTTATTAATTTGTATGCATGTTTGTTTATTTATTTATTATTCTAGCTAATGATTAAGTAATTGCTTAATTCATCAAGAAGTTCATTTATTTGTTTGTTTATTTATTTATTATATTCATTCCTTCATTTATTTCGTATTCTATTTATTTATTTATTTATTTATTTATTTATTTATCTATTTATTTATGCATTCATTTATTCGTATTTTTCTTTATTTCTTTATTTTTTATTTCTTTATTGATTGATTTTGATTTATTTTTGCATTGATTTATTGATTTATTTATGCATTTATCATATATTTATGTATTGCCATAGTTTGTATACCATCACCAGGGTCTATATACCTATCACCAGGGTCTGTATACCTATCACCAGGGTCTGTATAACTATCACCAGGGTCTGTATACTTATCACCAGGGTCTATGTACCTATCACCAGGGTCTATATACCCATCACCATGGTCTGTATACCCATCACCAGGGTCTGTATACCTATCACCAGGGTCTGTATACCTATCATCAGGGTCCGTTTTATCTATCACCAGGGTCTGTATACCTATCACCAGGGTCCGTTTTATCTATCACCAGGGTCTATATACCTATCACCAGGGTCTGTATACCTATCACAAGGGTGTGTATGCCCATCACAAGAGTCTATATACCCATCACCAGGGTCTGTATTATCTATCACCAAGGTCTGTATACCCATCACCAGGGTCTGTATACCTATCACCAGGGTCTGTATACCCATCACCAGGGTCTGTATACCTATCACCAGGGTCTGTATTATCTATCACCAGGGTCTGTATACCTATCACCAGGGTCTGTATACTTATAACCAGGGTCTATGTACCTATCACCAGGATCTATATACCCATCACCAGGGTCTGTATACCCATCACCAGGGTCTGTAAACCTATCATCAGGGTCTATATACCAATCACCAGGGTTTGTATACCCATCACCAGGGTCTGTATACCTATCACCAGGGTCTGTATACCCATCACCAGGGTCTGTATACCCATCACCAGGGTCTGTATTATCTATCACCAGGGTCTGTATACCTATCACCAGGGTCTGTATACTTATAACCAGGGTCTATGTACCTATCACCAGGATCTATATACCCATCACCAGGGTCTGTATACCCATCACCAGGGTCTATAAACCTATCATCAGGGTCTATATACCAATCACCAGGGTTTGTATACCCATCACCAGGGTCTGTATACCTATAACCAGGGTCTGTATACCTATCACCCGGGTCTCTTTACTTATCACCAGGGTCTGTATACCTATCACCAGATTCTGTATACCTATCACCAGGGTCTGTATACCCATAACCAGTGTCTGTATTTTCTATCACCAGGGTCTTTATACCCATCACCAGGGTCTGTATACCAATCACCAGGGTCTGCATACCTATCACCAGGGTCTGTATACCCATCACCAGGGTCTGTATACCTATCACCAGGGTCTGTATTATCTATCACAAGGGTCTATATACCTATCACCAGGGTCTGTATACCTATCACCAGGGTCTGTATACTTATCACCAGGGTCTATGTACCTATCACCAGGGTCTATATACCCATCACCAGGGTCTGTATACCCATCACCAGGGTCTGTATACCCATCACCAGGGTCTATAAACCTATCACCAGGGTCTATATACCAATCACCAGGGTTTGTATACCCATCACCAGGGTCTGTATACCTATCACCCGGGTCTCTTTACTTACCACCAGATTCTGTATACCTATCACCAGGGTCTGTATACCCATCACCAGGGTCTGTATACCTATCACCAGGGTCTGTATTATCTATCACCAGGGTCTATATACCTATCACCAGTGTCCTTATACCTATCACCAGGGTCTTTATACCTATCACCAGGGTCTGTATAACTATCATCAGGGTCTGTATTATCTATCACCAGAGTCTGTATACCTAGCACCAGGGTCTGTATACCCATCACCAGGGTTTGGGTATCTATGAACAGGGTCTAAATCTGTAAATCTATGTCAAGGGTGTGTATTATCTGTCATTAGGGTCTGTATGTACCCATCACCAGGGTGTGTATACCTATCACCAGAGACTTTGGACCTATTACCAGGGTCCGTATATCTATTACCAGCGTCTGTATTTCTATAACCAAGGTCGGTATTATCTATTAAAAGGGTGTGTATACGTATCACCAGGGTCTATATTATCTATCACTAGGCTCTCTATTATCTATCACTAGAGCTGTACATCTATCACCAGGGTCTGTATACCCATCACCTGTTTGTCTGTCCGCAAAAACGTGCCCATTACTTTTGATTGGTTGGACCTATGGCTTTCATATTTCACATGTGCATTCCTTGTGATAAGGCCTTTGTTTGGGTTCTAACATATTGGACTTTTTTGACCTTGATCTTCGAGTTTTTCCCACTTTTTCAAGAATTTACCAAACTTTAACCTTGGCTATAACTTTTCAACAGTTGGTGCAAGGGCTTTCATACTTTATACTAGTATGTGTATTCATAGTAGCAAGACCTTTGAACGGATATTAAAAAAATTGATCTTGACCTTTGAGTTTTACCAACTTTTAAAAATTTTAACCTTGAGAAATTAGTGTCAGGGCTATTATTTTCCACATGTGTATTCCTTGTGACAAATCCTTTCTTTGGGTTCCGACATATTTGAAATTTTGATCTTTATCTTGAAATAAGACATACTTTTGAAAAACTTTAATCTTGGCCATATATTTTGAACAGTTGGTGCTAATTCTTTAATGTTTTTCATGTGTATTTCCTATGACAAAGCCTTACCCTGGGTACCTTTAATTTGACCCTTGACCTTGCAGTTTGACCCACATTTAAAAAACTTTAACCTGAGCTAAACCTTTTGAATGGTTAGTGCCTGGAATTTCTTATTTCTCAGATGTATTCACCGAGAGTCCTTTCTTTGGGTAACAACATTTTTCAGCTATTAAGGACATAAGCAACGTAGTTTGAATTTTATTGTCTTTTTCCCTGGAGTTGAAGATTTCCAATACTTAAAGGAACTGTGTGTTACATTTTAATGTCTATATATGCTGTTGTACACTTCTTCTAAAACAAGTTTGGATAAACAAAACATCTAGAATATATGTTTAATAATTTTTGTATATTTTTCTTTGAATTATACAAGAATTTTCATCAATTGATATCTTTTCAAAACCCCTGGTAATGCATGCTGATTTTTTGTCTACGAACATCTGATGGCACTATAATCTTAAATTAAGAATATCTTGAAAAATTATCAGTAGGTAAGGTACGTTGCGTATGTCCTTAATATTTGAGTTTGAGTTGCATTTGAGAAACTTTAACCATTGTCAAAAGCTGCCATACAGGGACATCAGTGTTTCACAAACACATTTTGTTTTAATTTGAAATACCAAACAAAGTTAAACTGAAATATTCGATAATAACCATTATAGTTTTTAGATAATTTTGTTCACTAAAGAAGAGAAAGTCCTTTGCTGTAAAATGAGGTGTATTTGTACGTATATTTGTTCACTAATTTGTTTATTTATTTTTGGCCTGAAATGACCATGTTATAGACCGTTCGAGAAATTAATACGATATGTTCTTTGACATCAAACATATCAAACTTTCATGCATACTTAGCTTTGAAGTCTACATTTGGACTTTGCGACTTTGTAAAAATATTTTTTAATGAACGCCTGCACTGAAAATTTAAGTTTAAATTTCAATTTAAATTTAAGGAGGTATAACCTATCGATTACATGAATTTTTATTGGGGGAAGTGGGTTAAAGTCACTATTTATAACAAAGTGTTGTCAGTCTTACTATCATGATAAATAAAGAAGGATGGCTAAATAATTGTCTGGAATGTGTTGCTTGGAATTTATTTCAAGGCCTAAACATGTAGATCAAGGTGTAGGGAAAGGTCGACCAATAATAACGACCTCACTATAGATTTTCAAGGCACCTAAATACTACAGATTTTATTTATTTCATTTGTATTTACAATTCATCAAATTATAATTTCAGATTAACAATTTGTTATTACAATCTTTTATCTTTTATAAAAACAAGTTTATTAACATTTTATAATTGCAAATTATTTGATTTGTTGTATAAATATTTTCCTTCCTACTGAGTTTATGTTAAAGTATGAATTTGAATTCCCCCAATACTGATGTACAAAAATCACCGTTACGGAAAACAAGATGTGTTTGTGAAACACTGATGCCCCCGTATGGCAACTTATAGCAAAGGTTAAACTTTCTCAAACGCAAATCAAATATGTTGGTACCCAAAGTAAGGTCTTGTCCCGAGGAATAAACCTGTGAAATATGAAAGCCCCGGTAGCAACGATTGAATAGATATGGATAAGGTTGATTTTTTTTTCAAAAGTATGTC